TTTACTTGCGCTCTTAAATCCGATGGAACCCATACCTAAAAGAAAGAGAAGTATTTTACTCTGAGATCGTTACCTCACACCTTCAATTGGATCAGCTTAACTCTTTCACTCCTAAAACCTCATTAGTACTTCCCCTTACTAATATCAACTGATAATCCTTTTGTTGATATATTTCTTTATTCTCATCACTTGTCTGCTTGATATTGGATTGATATTGTAAGGAGAAATTCTGTCTTGGTCACTCACGGAAGTTGAAGGGTTTGGGGTCCACAATTATTTACAAAGTATACCAGACTATGTCATGTAAGTAAATTTAAAATTGTTATATGGTAAACAGATGAAGGAATTACAAAACTTCCCTTTGAAATAATCTCAGCTTCATGTATTTTTTTTATTATCATTGTCATTATAACTGTCATCTTCTTTAAGTCTCAGGATGTTATCCTCTAGGTACTTACAGACTTCCCAACTTCAAATGCAATTTGTGCAGAGCCTCCACCCATGTCAAGAGATCCCACTGTGCTTTTACGGTTAACTTCTGATGCGCTGTTGTTTGGTGGTGACTCTGTTGCAATTAAAATCAACCAAGAAAAATCACAAATTTTTACAAAATATGTTTTTAACAATTGATTCTTGCTTTTGACATCATAGTTAATTGCAAAGTTGTTTGCTTCTTGGTTAGGAAACCCTACAGATTTCTTCTTTCATATTTTCAGTCTGTTTCTTGAGCCTAATTGCTCATAGTTATTCATTATAAATGGACATGCAGAGACATTCCACAAGCCAGGAAGCCCCGTTACCTTTCTACTGAGGCATGGTTATTTTTATCCTCAATCTTTCCTGGGTTCCTATACATATGTAAACAGTCTCCATCCCTAAGTAGGGTTATGTTATTCAATGGACACACCTCTGCTTTGAAAACAATAAACTTGTAAATACAAAAAGTTTGTTTTTGACAATTTCGATTTCTTTGTAGCAGACTAGCTTTATCAAGGTTTCTTATGAGGTCATTGTGGGAGATGCAATGCTTTAACAGTTAGCACAGTACTGCTGGAGAGTTCTGCTTCAAGACCTGACTAAGCCAATGTGTTGTGTTCTTGGGCAAAACACTTTACCCAACCAGTGCCTTTCTATTACCAAACTGTCAGGGAAGCTTGACAAAATGCCGAGGGGGGTAGGGGCTAACTTACAATGGACTGGTGTCCCTTTGAAGGGTCACTTCATGCTACAGAGGATGTAGTTTGAACCACTTGTTACAAAGTATCATTGTTGAGTTCTTCTAAAAGATCATCACTAATTCATCAGCTACATGAAGCCAAACACTTCATTTGATGGAAATTAAAAGCTTACAAAATTAGGTTATTTGAATTACCTTGACTATCATGTGAATGATCAAATCTTCCCAGCTCAAAGTTGACTCCAATCCATGAATAAATTCCTGTGAAAACAAGGTATGCCCTATCTCAAAACATTTTCAATATCCATAAAGATTATTGATGACTAATTATTCATTGCTCATTTTGTGCACCTTGGTTTGGTAATAGAGCTGAAAGTACTACAAGTTCTCCAATTCAAAATCAGAATGTTATTTTTATGTTTTCCAAATTAGAATTTTCATATTTTATAAGTTTTTTCCATGAAAAGTTTATTTTTGATTGGGGTAACTTCTTTAAGGCCTCGAAGGAAAAAATTGTCAAAGTACATCTGACAATTACACAAAGCAATTACAAAATTTCCAAAAAAATAATGTCATTAGAATGGATAAAAATGTACCTTCTTGCTTCCCTGTGATGACCTCAACATGAGATGACGTGAAATGGAAGTTGTACTTCAAAGGAACATCCACTCTCAAATCATCTAAAATAGCTTCTTGATCAGTAACAGAAAGCATTCGCATGCCAGCAGTAGCCAGGATATAAAGAGGTGTTTCTTTGTGCTTGTGTTCAGGAATTTGTTGTGCAGCAAAGGAAAGAAGAGGATCAATATAGGATGATGCTTCTGACGGCCAATTCACTTGACTAGAGATCCCTAAAATCACAGATATAAAGAATCCATAAGAAATACAGTAACTGTACATTTGACTCTTCAACTCCCATGAGTGACCAAGACAGAATTTCTCCTTACAATATCAATACTATATCATGCAAACAAGTGATGAGAATAATTAGTAAATAAACCCCCTTTGGGCGGCTTGTATACCCGCTGATAATGTCCGCGGCTGAGAGA